AGGCAGGGGAGCATCCACACTGCACAACAAGCTGAGAGGTCGGGGAAGCCCGAGCCCTCCGCACCAGACACGGCGCCATGCCGGAAGGGCCCATTCATGACGGTGCTGGTGGTCCTTTGCAAGATAATCCCAGGTTGCATTCCGTCCTCCTTGCTTCTGCACCACTTCGTCGCACACAGATCGCCGGCCGTCTTGCTGCAGGAGCTGCCGCCTGAGCTGGACAGGGCCTCGCAAGAGGAAGCCTCTTTGGCTATGGCGACTGAAAGATGCATCATGCTAATCACATACCTGCCCCCTCTTACTACCAATCTCTTGACCGGGTTCTCGGCAAGGCCAATATCGGAAAGCGCGATGTCCTCTGTCCTGCAGCCGCAAATTACGAGTACCTACATTCAGTCGCCTAGCTGAGCCTATTCACCTGGCACTGCGCCCTTCCCTGCTGTTCGGTTATTCATTCCGTGGCTACGGCTTGGTGGAATTCCTCTCATCGACCGATTGTTACGCTGTCAGAATCCATCCCAGGAACCAGCACGTAAAGACAACGTCATGTGAGGGTCGCTGCTTTGTGCCGAGCATGTGCTCGGCGGGTACAGAGTGCAGAGCATCCATGTCACGTTTGCCACAGACGCTGTCGGCCTCCTGACAGCAATTCAAGCAGGATGCAAGATGTCAGTCCAGTCGGGAACACGGGACGACATCAGCTGGAATGAGGCCCAGGACAAATGAAATCGATGCTCAGGACATTCCAGCCGCGCCCGGGCTCAAAAGCTCGCTTAATGGCTTTTGATGATTGGGCGTCTGGGTCATTCCGTTGCGCGACGAGCTGAGTGCATCCCGCCAACATTCCCCATAGGCCAGAACGGGAGAAGTACGAGGCTTGAAATTCGAGCCACAGCGGGAGAGAGCTGGGTTCGGTGGGCAACAGGCTCGTGTTCGCCAGACGCGGCATGGCACTAAGGAGTCCCAAGCTCCCACTCATTACGTCGTAGATTCCAGGGAGACTCCAGTCCAGGCCTTCAAGCGTCGGGGCACCCTGCAGGCAGCCCCGCTCTGCCACGGTATCGCAGAGGACGACGAGTAGCCCTCCAATTTGTGCCGCTCTGATGCTAGCATTCTTGGTCATAGTCCTCCCCCCTTGAACAGACCGCCATGGACGTGCATGACATGCATGGCGGCAAGCTCCGGACCAGAAAAGATTGGCAGTTTGGCCATTATTGCACATTTGATTGCACGTTTGTTGCGGCAGCAGAGGGAAAGAAACCCAGCGCCAAGGGCGGGTGGCGGTTTCGAGCCTACCTCGTGTTGTTGGACTTCAATATCCCAGGATTGCCGATTGACAGGTGCATGCACGGGGTTCTGCCTCGAGACACACAGTGACCCGTGCAATTGGACTGGCCGTCGAGAGGAGGTGTCAACCACCATGTCAGTGCAACCCATAGGAAGCTGCATACTAGGTAAGTTCAGGAATGGGAAAGGGCACGCCTCATTCTGCCGTGCGTGTGAACCCCTTGTGTTTCTCTGACCACGGCACGGGCGAGCGCCCCTAGTCCCAACCCCTTTCAGTTCCCGCCTCGAAGAGGATCTTGATTCCTGTTAGGCATGTCCTTGTGTGATTCATGAGATTGGGTTCCAACTAGCCGCGTAAGAGTGAAAGGCGTTTGTGAGATACCGACTATACTCGGTACCTAGGGAGCATTGAGGGTGAGAGATAAGCGATCGTAGAGTCATAGTACGGGGTACATACGTGGCTCGGGGAGGACCAAGTAGCACACGATTTTCAGATCCTTTTTCCTCCTCGGGTCTTAGCTTTCAGGCACGGCTCGTGCGCCCCGTGAGACTGTTTTACTATCTGCTTCTGGGTCTACGACGCATTGCGTCCTGTGAGTGCTGGGAGAAAGGGGGGGTACCGTCATGCTGCTTGGACGGCTGAAGTTTGGTTGGATGGACAGGACCTAATGACTCCAGCAAGCAGCATGTCTAGTCAACGCCACCAGCTGGGGAGGGTTGAAGGTCGACTGGATGGCATGTTTATCCAGCCGCGGGGGGGATGCGACGCTGGGGGAAGATATACGAGGAAGAATTACGTGATGTTCCTAATTGAGGGTATTGCAGAGTAGGGAGGAATCAGATGACTGGATTTTGACCTTGTCCCCGTATGTTGTCATCTCTCAGGGAAATCTAGAACGCTGGAGGCAATCCCTAGGTGGTTTGCTAGTATTAATAGCAAGCGAACTTCATGCGTCGGGAATGGTTGCAGAGGAGAAAGGGGGAAGGCGGTAGGCCATGCTCGTAACCATTGGGGAGGTGTTCTGGGATGGCACGGCGTCCTGTTTGGAACCTTTGGTGTTGGTGTGCTCGTACTGCTTTGGTGAAGTGGTTTCGGATTGCTTCGCCAATCGATTCCAGAATGGAGCAAGCTGGAAGAGGAGGATGGTTGATTCGCACCCAGGAATCCCTCACCACCCTTCGCTCGCAGGCGGTGCAACCGATCCGATTTGTTCAGTGGCTCGTCGCGTCTGCATCATTATTGTTCGGAAGGCGGAAGGCGCATGGCTGGCTGGCTGCCTGCCTGCCTGCATCACGGCTGCATCACGGCTGCCCTTTGCTTTTTCCCGCTGGTGATGCGCGTTCTGGGGATGGCATGCATGCTCTGTATTGGGCTGGGAACCTGCAAGGGTGTCGAGTGCGTGTCAAAAGTGTCAAGCGTGCCATGGAGGTACTGGGTCATAGTGATTTCCGGTGTCGAGGTGGGTGGTGGTCAAGAATGCACATTGGACGCATTGATTTTTGACCCGGAGAGCAGTCTATCTGAATCTTTGGAGGTCGACATGAATCCAAGGTCAGGATAGCCTCTGGGAAGCAAAGGGTGGAGGATTGTGTTGATCCCCGGGCCTATCATTTTCACATTTGGACAAGAGCAAGAGTCTGCTAGCACCGCCAGCTTCGCCTGCTAATAATTGACAGTGCTAAGGGTGCTTAGTGCGGCTGCGGCTGCTGCTGCTGCTGCTGCCTACTCTCACTTCCCTCAACCTCCTCTCACCTCAACCTCATCTACGCTCAAAGAAAGACAAGATAGACAAATAGACTGATGGACTGATAGACACGCCATCAATGACTCCATGACTCCACGCCTTCATCCCTCCATCATCAACTCTGATGTGTCTCTCCTCGTCTCCTTCCACATCTGAACCGGACCTACGAGTAATACCCTGGTTGTCCCCATTATTCCTGTCAGTCGCTGTCAGTCGCTACCGTCGGGCTTTCCTCTCTCTCTCTCTTTGTTTCTCTTTTGCCATTGTCTCCTGCCTTCTTTGGGATACTCTGGACAAACAAGCTGGCGGCCTGCTGAGCGAAAAAAATCCCTCTCCACAAATCCCCATGGCCCTTCGCATTCCCACCTGCCACTTGCCAGTCAAGTGGTCAGTGGCGCGCCAACAAATTCCTGGCCCTAACCACTGGCATGAACCGGGTTACTTGGTCCTCCGCAACCCCTCCTTGCTTGCACAGCTCCCGCCAGCTTGCCCGCCCATCCTTGCTCCCAGACTCAGTGACAAAACACACAACATTCACACAACGCCAGTTGCGAGCCTTGATCGACTCTAGTCACTCCACCCATTGCCCATCTCACCCTCTTTTTCTTCAAACTCAAACTCTCTTTCTCCCTTGCCAACATTCCACTGACTCCTGAGCGGTGGAAATCTCCACTCCCAAACCCGCCCGAACCCTGATCAACCTCCCTTGCTTCTCAAGAGTCAAAGACTCAACCTACCTCCCCCGGTCCCATTCCCTCTCCTCCACTGTCCAGGATTGCCCTGCCCCCACCCCCCGGCCCATCCTCAGTCCACCTTTACTCCCGTCACAATTTAGCGCTCATTATCCCTGTAAGCGATCGGCAAGGGTCAGATGGCATGCGTTACGCTGGTTTGTAGCCTCCACTGTCCAGGTTACTCAGATGCGAACGGACCACGAGGCCGCCATCCCCCATTGACTCCCCTAACTGTCCGATCCCAGAGGCCTAGGTCTACCCATCGACCCGGCCACCTTAACCTGCCCGCCCTCCACAGAAAACCACAAATCAGCTCCATCTCCCAAGGACGGTTGACGACACGCACGGTTTATTGCTTTTTCACCTCCCGTAAACCTCGTCTGATATCTGACCCGTGTTCTTTTGGCCCGAGCAGCCAGCAGCCAGCAGCCAGCAGCGCAGAGCCGGTATCTGCTTAGGTAGATAACCAGCCCCTCTTCCACGCTTACACCGCACGCGACAGAGTTTCTTGCTGACTTTGCATGTGTGCGCTCTTCAGTCTGTTCTCCACCTGCTTTCCTTCCACCTCTGCTGTGGAGGAAGAAAAAAGAGTTCTTGAAACGTACTAAAGGCTCCCAAGTTACACACCCGCACACACAACGGTTCAGCAACGTCTTGTACACCAGGCTATTTTGAATCCATCAACCAAAGAGTTTTCGGTTTCTGCCAGCTCGCCCGTTGCAGTAAAGAACGCAGAGCTTCCCTATCTCTTCATCCGGGTACACTCACTCCGTAAACCCATTGGGACACCAGGTCGAGCAATCATCTGCAGCATACCGAGTATAACACAAGCCGGCCCCTTTGGGGTGGTACAGTATCTGCACCAACGGCAACCCTCCGTCCATTCCAACCTACCGACTGCCGTGTAACTCGTGGCGACCCTTCCAGTGGCCTTCTTGCCATGAGGCACGTCTTGGGAATTTATTGGTGCTCGGCTCTGAAGGACAACAGTACTTCGTGCAAACATCTAGCTTGCTAGGACCACTTTCACTCTGTACCCTCGAGGCTTGGGGACAACAAAGATTGCCCTCATCGGCACTTATTCCTACGTTTTCTCGTCCTCACCAAAGCCAGAGTCCAAAGTTCTACTGCTCGACGGATCGTTGTCGACCAAGTCCGGGAGACTAGCGTGCCCAGACGTAACAGGCCCTGTTTTGGTCAACGAGACTGCTCCTCGCAACCAGGAAGTGGGCAAATGGCAACGAGCGTTGTGCTACCTCTGGAATCCCGAGTGCAAGAGTGGCATGATACCGAACCAAACGCACCGCGCCGTCAAACCATAGCGGAATCATCAAGCCGACTGCCGGGCTCAATGGCTCAGCCACCGACAGGAGAGTCCCTTTCAGCAGAACAACAACTGCAACAACAAAGTCTGCCATCCTTCAGTTCACTACTGGCCGGAGCCAGCAATCCCAATCATTTTGGCCAGCCCCGTCCAGGAGAGGTGAGAAGGGAACAAGCATTGCCTAGCAGTGTCTCCACTGGCAAATATGCCCCTCAACAAAACAGCTTCAAACCTTCCGATGTGCATCCATCCACCATGTCTCAATCCTCACACGCCCAGTCTGATACCATGAATAGTCCCTCTTGGTCCTACTCAACCACGAGTTATTCGGAAAATAAACCTGCCGCACCTGATCCTCGTGCAACACATGCAACTGTCGATCATGCCCCTGGTCGGGCGTCTGCCGAAAAAGAAACTCCTGACGGGTCAGGTAGTTGCCACGCCAATGAGGACGTTACCATTTATTCCCAAAATCCGGATGATGATGGTCTCAACACCATGTGGAGCTCCTCCAAAGCAAGCAAACTCAAGAAGCGCACCGGGCAGGCGTGCGATGGCTGCCGGGAGAGGAAGATGAGGTGTGACTTTAAATCTCCCAAATGCACAATGTGCAAGAATATCGACCGTGATTGCACGTTTGGGTCAGCGTAAGCAACTCCGTCTTCCCCAGGATTTATTTCCGTCGCTAACTTCTGTGTAGGCCACGTGCTACTATGCGACATTCAGCTTACCCGATGTCGATGCCTTCGACTTCGAGGTTTGCGAGCACGAACCAGGACCAGGGCAATACCCTTCAAAGAGGGTCGACAACTGCCATAGATTTGGCCTCTCAAGAGCGTGGCTACTCACAAGCCACGCCGAGAGCCTCCATGTCGCTAGAGAATATGCTTTATCCAGCCTCCGATCAACCGACGAACCATGAGGATCGGTCAGACAGCCAACCACCAGCAAAGAGACCCCGTGTTTCGCCATCTCCTCGTCCTAGATCCCAAGGCCAGATGTCCGCGAGTTCGGGTACAGAATCTGTTGGAGGGTTGATCTCCTCGCCATCAGTCATCTCCAACTTCTCTTGGGACAAGGACCCCTATGATCTGAGCCGCAGTTTGACCCTCGACTATGTGCAAAGGTATTTCGAGCACGTTGACGGTGTAACATATCACATTCTCCCAAAGGCCCTTTTCAAACAATGGATTCGCCAGTGCCGCACCAAATCACCGGCTGATAAGATGTTGCTCTATGCCATTCTGGCAATGGGAACCGTCTTTACATCCTCACAATCACAATCTAAACACCACCAAGACGCGTTTCTCGAGATTGTCCACAAAGCCATGATAGAAAACGGCGACATGTTCAGCTTGCAGCTGATTCAGACCAGGCTGATCCTGGCTCTCTTCGCATTTTCTCAAGGCCAGTACAACCGGGCGAGTGATTATTGCGGCTCTGCTGTGCGGACTGCGTTCGGGTTGAGATACCATACTGAGGAGGGAGTCTCAACAATCGGAGATCAAGATGCGTTGGATTTCGGCTTGTCTCGTGAGATGTTGGTCGAATGCCGGCGTCGGACGTTCTGGGCTGCCTATCTGATGGACAGCTTTAGCCGTTGCTGGTCTGCATCTGTCACTACTGTCAATCGATCTGATTGTCGGCTACGCTTGCCATGTGCTGAGGCGGCCTTCGAGGCCGGGAGCGTCCCTCTGGCACCGTTCACTCTTGAATCGCCCAAGAACAACAAGGAGAGTCAACCCGATTCACCCCACGAATCATCCGAAGTCGGCTCTTTTGGTTATCTGGTGGAGATTGCGGCGATCTTCAGCGAGGTGATGAGCACTGCCGGCAGGGGTAAAACGCAGTTTCCGGCGAAAGATCGGTTGACGACGGACGCCTTCCGCCACGACATCCAAGGTCGGCTCAAGACGTGGGATCACGCCATGAAGAGGCATGTCCGCCAAGGTCGAGACGGAGTAGAGAAAGGTAGCGGCTACTACGTTCTCTATCATTACTCAATCATGATACTGAATCGGTACATTAACTATTTGGAGATGGACCAGTTGCGGATTAGCGTATGTGCAAGGCAAGTACACGACCACGCCCGTGAGATGCTGTCAACAGTACAGAAAATATGCGAGCATGGCGACAACAAGCACGACTCCTCGTCTCGGTTCCTGGTGTTGAGCCCCTTCAGCGGCTTCGCCATAACCGCCGCGTTGGATGTCGCTACTGCGGCCGGGCCAGTGTCGACTCTGATGGGCCCTGAGAGTCAGATGATGTCCTTGTTTGGCAGTGTCGTCCCGTTCCTGGAACGTTTAATGGATCATTGGCACAGTGGTCGTCAACAGCAAGAGATGGTGGACCAGAGGTTGAGGGCTCTTCTGGACGTAGCCAAGAGGGCCTCCGAATTCAACGGAGGATATTACTTTGCGCACCCAATGCAAAGTGGCACCGACTTGAGCCAAGATGTTACCTACGGGCTTCCTCGGCGCAAATACTTTGAGACCATGGGGTGGGAGGAGTATATCCATAGTGAAGGGGAGTTCCAACGACTGGACTAAGCAGGGGATCAACGATGCAGCGCACACGAGAATTGAGACGGCCGCTCACAATGTGATGAAAAACATGAGATAACGAAGCGTTGGTATGGCATAAGGGTGGGTAATATGTACAGATGTGGTATCAGCAACACCCGTTTGGCGATGATGGCATTCGGCGCTACGGGATACCCAATGATTTTGACGGTACACAGGACCAACCATTGTCGGATTTCAAAGGCAAGAGCAAAACGTTCCAGGTGGTTTTTGTTTGCCGATGGGGTTTTGCTCGGTGACAGGTCTGCGAGTTTGTTTATACGCTGGAGAAGAAGCATATATATTTAGTAACTTATCTCGTTTACATATAATTGGGGAGGATGGGGATAATACCACTACCGCGACCCTCTAGGGCAATATGGCGCCCTTGATGCCGTCTGGATGCCGCCACAACCTTGTAAACATGAGAAAGACTAGGAGAAGATGGATCTGCATTCCAGCCTCAACGCGTTTGGAGACGCCGGGCCCTGAGCCGAGGTTGTGGATGACGGGCAGGTGGCCCACGGAATACGGGGGATCGCATCGTAGATAACGGCCCGGATGCCCGATTCCGAAACTCCAGTGGCACGTGGCTGGCAAGCTATGCATGCGGCAATGTGGCAACTTAGCCGAGGCCCTGTCAGTGGCACGTGCTCGGTCCTCGGTGAACCTGCTTCTTTTGGACACGTGATACAGGGCGCTTTCTGGATCCTTCAGCCTCACTCAAGCGTTTGTCCCTCTGGCTACACAACTGCCCCGTATCTGTAACCCCCCGTGTCCTTCTCACGATGCATCTCACCTCGCTCTCTGCTGTCTCTGAGGATTGAGAAAACCAGCCAATGCTACACGAGAGGTCATTTCGCTTCTGCGCAAATCCGATCTTGGCCGCAACGGAAGAAACTATCTGTGCATCCGTCCCTCATGCCCGTCTCTGACCGGTGAGCCAGAGGGGGGAAGTCTCGCCGCCATGGACGCGTTCCTTGGTGCGCGGAAACGCACTTGAGCTTCTGTGGATATCGCGGGTGAAACAAAACCTGCAGATTTTCTGGCATCCCGCGTCCATTCGGGCATTGTTACTCATACAGCTGGGTTTGGTTGCAGGCTCCCATCCAGGCGTCCTCCGAACCTTGTGTGCTTGGGGAGAAAGCGAACCACTCCACCTGATGTGATCCTCTCCGGGGACTAAAGGTTAACAGCGGCTGTCAGCCTCGAATCCACACACGCAAGTCCTCGAGGGCCTTGTAAAGGCCACAGCTTGTGCCTGGCATATGCCAAGTCATCACTATTTAAAAGGTTTCTGTTACACATATCTTCATTCCTCCTTCTATCCAACATATCTTCATTGCGCCGTCTTGCCCACTTCCATATGGCACTACCTAACCAGTCGGATCCTAATATCTCTTCTAGCTCTATTCGTCTTCCTCTTACTATTCTCGACACTTTGGTTCCTGGTTCTTCTCACCTCGCGTCTTTCCTGCTTGGCTTCGGCCTCGATGTCTCCCTGTTTGTCTCGTGGAGTGCCATCCTGGCTACGCTATGGGCCGCAGTCCGCTTCGGCCTTGTACCTGCATATCAGACCGCTGTGAAGGCACTCAGCTCGTCGGTGATTGTGGAAGAATATGATCCCATCTACATTCATGTCCTCAATTGGGCCAGCGCCCAAAAGTATCTGCAAGATATTCGCTCGCTCCGAGCACACAGTGCGGGACAATACTACAATGACTTGGAAGATTATGAGCAGGACGAGGACGGCCTACAGATGCGGTCCCGAGAAGGGATGTCTGAGGATACCATCTTCAATTTCAACAATTGGTCTGCCCGCGCCCCGCCGACATTTCGACCTCATACTTCGTCGGGCTGGTTCTTCCACAAAAACCGACTGTTCAAATTGTATCGATGTCGCGATCGTGTCGCCAGCGACTTCACTGGCGCCGTGTACGACAGAGAACGTCTTGAAATCTCAGTCATCTGGTTGTCTCCTAAGCCCATCAAGAGCATGATTCAGGAGGCCCGAGAATTCCATCTAATCCGTCGGACGTCCAAAACCACAATCAAACGTCCTACCCCCAAGTCGCAGAGATCTGGCCGTCAACAAGCTTGGACAACGATCGCAAACAGACCCAGCAGATCCATGGCCACGGTCGTGCTGGACAACGACCAGAAGGCAGCCATTCTGAAAGACTTCAACGATTTTTTACACCCACGAACGGCGCGGTGGTACAGCAATCGCGGCATCCCATACCGTCGAGGTTACCTCTTTCACGGTCCCCCAGGAACAGGTAAGACGTCGTTGTCATTTGCTCTTGCCGGGGTGTTTGGGCTTGACATATATTGCCTTGCGCTGTCTGAAGCTACGTTGACCGAAGAAGACCTCATCCTGCTCTTCAACAGTCTCCCCAAGCGATGTATTCTGCTACTTGAGGACATAGACAGCGCTGGCCTGGGCAGGGCGCCAAGAGCAAAGGACCTGGAAAAGCGAGATCCGACAGACCATGTACCTACTACTAAAAAAGATAAACAGCGCCGGAAGAAGCATGCTGGGGATAATAAAGGCGACAAAGACGACTCCACCGAAGCCGTGGGCATGGCAGCAGCAGATCAGCCCAGTTCGTTCGGGAAAGAAGCAACATTCAAGAACACGCTCACATTCGCGGGCCTTCTGAATGCCATAGACGGAGTCGCAAGTCAGGAGGGCCGAGTCCTCATTATGACGACCAACCACGTCGAAAGACTGGACAAAGCCCTGACCCGCCCCGGTCGGATAGATCTGACCATCAAGTTTGACCTGGCGACCAAGCAGCAGATCAAAGACCTCTTTGTGCGCATGTACTGTGTTGACTCGGTCGAGATGAGAAGACAGCCGACCAAGATCAGCCATATACTGCCGAACCAGGTGGAGATGGCAAACACACCCAAGGACGGCGACATGGACCGCCATCAGACCGACTTCTATCTCGGCCGGCATAAAGACATCCCCAAGGAGGCTCCTTCGGCCGACGGGAGATCGGTCCTCGACCTGGCGGAACAGTTCGCCACGTCTCTCCCCGAGCGGACTTTTTCGCCCGCCGAGATCCAGGGGTACCTCCTGGTCAGGAAGAAGTGTCCCGCGCAGGCAGTCGTGGACGTGGTTCAGTGGAGGGATGAGCAGCTGCAGAAAAAGGCCGAGTCGAGCGTAATGAAGCTCCAAGGCAAGGTCAAGGACATTGATGAGGGGAGGAGCATGGCGTCGGACGAGAGCGAGAAAATGGCCGGTTCATCATCCTCATGCGCGGGAGACGCAATATCCGACCAGCAGCAGGGGGGAGCAGGGAGAATAGAAAACGGGCTCGCGGGAGAGCTTACAGGCGGAGAGGTGGACGCCGCAGGGCACACGGAGGAGGTCGAACATGACGCCGGATCCGCGACGAGCGAGGGTCCAGATGGGGACGACATTGACAGTGACGGTGATGGTGACGGTGACAGTGACAACTCGGATGGAGACGAGCATGGGACCACCTGCATGGAAGACGGCGACATGAGCGGCTCAGAACACGATGAAGACCAAGCCTCCGACGTCGATAGCCTCTCCCCGTGTGTTCGACGACGCTTCAACCTGCACGCACGCACAGGACTGCGAATGTGAATGGGGCGACGAGGAGGTAGATTGGTAGATTTCGCCGGCCGCCGTCTCGAATGGGCCGGTAGACGGCGATGTCGCCGACAACAATGCAGTGTGGTAATGGCGCAAGATGGCTGTGATCTCTAGACTCGCGCCACATGTGAGTCCTGCTCCTGTGTCTAAGAAAGCCCCCTTCGTCTCCTACGGTGGTCTTCTCGATGCTCACGTTCATGTTGGTTTTTTGCGCTCAAAGTGGCGTGTTGGGAAGGGGGAAAAGTAATATCATTATCAAAAAATAATAATAATATGCACTACGTATACGAGTACACGAATAGAATGAATACCAACGAGAACACACACACGCACACACACGCACACACACGCACACACCTACACATAACGTAATGTGTTTAGAGAGATGTACATGTACTCGGTGCTGACGCTCGATACTACACTATATATATTTAATATATACCCCGAACTGTGCTTTATTCTCTACCGTTTTTGTTCATCAAAGGGAGCGAGGCCGCTTTAATCTAGCACGTGACGGAGCATGAAGAAGGCCCGGCCGAGTATGGAAAGAGCGTCGCGGGAGCCACGGGAGTATTAAGCGTGCTGTCTAATGCCCTTTGCATAGAGAAGTCATCTCAGGACCGAAGCTCCCGGGTCCCTAAAACCGCCATACGAACGTACTCTCCTCACTAGTAACTACCCATCGACTAAGGCCTGGCAATATATTCTCCACCAAGCTTTCGAATGATTGTATCTTTCTTCTGGTACTCCTTGATCAACGTCTCTAATCCCTTCTCAATCTTGTGGAGATCGTTTTGTAGATAACCATGCGGGCAAAGCCCGCCATTCATCGTTGCGTTAATCTTCTGGATCTCATCATACCATTCCTTTCGTTGGTCAGGAGACGCGGCTCGCACTGAGTTCAACAGCTTCATGGACGGTCTCTTGCTTCGCATCAACTCAAATTCCTCTTTGAGCTTTCTCTGGTCATCCGGATTTTGTTCGTTCTTAATTTTTTCCTCTGTTTCCAAATCGCTGTTCTTCTCATCATCACTCAACTTGTCGATGTTCAAAAGGTCGGAGAAGTATTCAAAAACACCCAGGGAGCTTCGCAGTTTCATCAGTACCGCAAACATTCGCCACTGGGCCCTAAAGCTTGGATTGCCCTTCCTCAATTCAGTCTCCATGTTCAAGAGAATCGGTGGTTCGAGACCAGTGGTTTTCGGAAGGCTGTGAATGGCTTTGCCCAAGAAAGTTGGCGGCTCTTCGACCATGGCCTGGCAATACATCAGTTTGGGCCCCAAATCTCTCCAGGGCCGCATGCGACCACCGGAGATGCCGCCGTCTTCCTCAATATACAGAGTCGGCATACCAATCAGGGCAGCATGATCCATCCCACCAGTCTTCTGACCCAATTGGTAGAGATTACCAGGGTATCTTTCCATCAGAGCAGCGAGTAATGCGTTCTGCGTTGCACGACTCATGAAGGTTTTCTGCTCGGCGTCTATGATATAAAACTCTCCCAGGTCACACGGGGCACGCGACTCTTTGCGTTCCTTGTCCGTGCCATTTTTGGAGTTGTGTCCAATTGAGATAACTTCATAGTGGTTTGAGGGGTTTCCCAGCAGCTCAATGAGTTGTGCCTGTCCAGTCAGGTCGCTGTCACCGGACGGATTGTGGCCGTTCTCTGTGTCGCTGCCACTGTATCGAGACCAAAGAAGTACGACTGGTCTCTTCGTATTATCAGGTAGCATCACCTGATTGAATTTCCCTTGCCCAACGATTTGCTCTCGGAGTGACACGAGCTTATCTGGATCAATGAGTCGTTGAGATAGTCTGTCGAACAGCTTCAGACGATCATCCACGGCGTCAGTGGCCTTGAACACTGCGGCAATCATCTCCGTCGATTTGATTACCGTCACCGCGTAGAAAGGCTTATTGGCTTGGCAATATTTGGTCTTACAGACTCCGTCAGTATCCATGATTGCACTTGTATAGGCCACAAAGAACAAGACTTACCACGAAGGCTTCCTTTGCATCATCGCCCATATAGCTAAGTACCTCAACAAGTTTCGGCTCTCGCGGCTCTTTATTCCATCGTTTGGCCAAAGTGTCGTCCTCAGGGTTCTTGGCCCTCTTTGGTGCAATACCATTATACACTTGTTGCGCATAATCTGGTGGGAGCGTGATGAAATCGACACGCGTATTGTCATTGGCCACTGCTCCGTTCAGAAAGGCCTTGAGGTCCGCGGGGATCGTGGGATCGGATAGTACGATGGCATGGGCAGTGTCACAGAGTATCAAAGCACCAGCAATGTGAGACGAGTCGCCTGACTGACTCGACAGAGCGACGACAAGTCGCGCTAAGGAATCCATCGGGCGTCCGTAATAACCTTTTCAGCAAGGAGAAGATGAGATGGTCGACTTGTGTGGTGATGTGATATCAGCTGTGGTCAAGTATGGGAGGAGGGACCGTTTAAATAGGCCTTCGATACTTTATCTTTTGGCTCTTAATCGGGCTTCTTACCTAGAGCCTGGGCTTTTCAGGGTATGAATTGAAGGTGGGCTGCATGAGTCCAAAAGCGTCTTTCAGCCGTCAAGCCTGACTAGCCCTCTCAGACGTGTAAGATTCAATACAGAGCGCGCGGTATGCGTATGGTCACCAGGTTCCATGTCCTACATGAGCCGGTGCAAGGGAGTGTTTCAGGCAGCCACCATGGCCGCATACCCAACTCGGCAAGCGGATGAGAAGTGAATGTGTTTACGAACTCTGGCAAATCGTAACACACTTACTGATCGCAGCCGAGAGACCCTACGTAAGACTTGTTTGCTACACACTGACCGTCATCTCTTTGACACTGTATTGCAATCAATATTGATCCCCAAATCTTTTGCCTGATCTGGCATGCACAACATCCCTCCTTCTAAATGATGGCTTGTTCATCAAGGAAAAAAGGGTCTGTAGTACCTAGTAAAAGCATCGCACTCATAGCCCAATAAATGGCCCTACGGACACAAGTGCCTCTGTCATAATTATCGAAGGGGGGAAAACTAACTAGATCGGAATGACTTTCAAAAAGCGTACAGAGACCTCCTCAAACCAAACACAATGAAAAAGCTCTCTCTCAGTGGCAAGTCAGTCCAGGTGTGTGGTGTCTTCTTAAGGCTCAGAAAACATCGCAAAGGTCTTGGGACACGCGGATTTCGCATCCGCATTGTAGTCCGCGATCCACCCGTCACTGCGCTTATGGGCCTGCTGTAAAAGTGTCTGACTGTCAATGTCCGGCATGCTCATGACGGGACTGCTCACTGCTTGACCTCCGATGGTGGCAAATGTAGCTGCGTCCAGAGAAGAGCTCGAGAATCCGCCTTTGAATGCACCTCTCATGATGGCTTGACCGAGAGCACGACTGTTCAGTGTAGCGCCTCTGAGGGCGGACAGTTTATCGAGTGATAGTGCATCTCCAAAGGCCTGAGATCTGGTTAATGTGGTTAGCCACGGAGGACGGGTTGGGGGGG